TCAGCCGGCCGGGGCCGGGGAGGGCGCCCGGCGGCCCTCGCACCCCGCTCTGTCCGGCTGTAAGGGCTCGGCCTGGGGGTCTGGCTGCGCCGCGTGACTTCAGCCCTTTTGCGCTGGCCGCTGTTTGAGTTGACACTGGTTGCGGCGTGGTTTCGGTTGAAGTGGGGCTCTCCTTCAAGCGTTTTCTTCCGAGCCCGGGACTGAACTCTGCCGGCTTTGCCTGGCAGATTGTAGTCGTCTTGCAATAAACCTTTTCCCTGTTACCCCCTGGGGACACGCGGGTGCTGCTGTGTAAAAGCACTTGGTTCGAGAATGCCTGGTTCCAGCTTTGCTCACGTTTTGTAAAATATCTTCCTGTCTTTTCTGTTTGTTTCTTGTAGATTAAGTTATATACAAAACACGGTACTCTGAAATACCAGACAGATTGTGCTCCAAACAACGGGTATTTCATGATTCCCCTCTATGATAAGGTAAGAAACTGAAATACCAGTGTTGCCGCCTCTGCGCTGGAGGCAGGAGCTGCCGGCAGATTAAACGTCAGAACAACACCCACCTGAGAAACATTTGAATCAGGACATTATTTATTTTGTTTTGGACTAAACTTTCTATTGTTTCTTTTTGTAATGCAACTATTTTATTTCTCGGTGCTAATTATTATAATGAGAAAAGCCAGGTAACTTCAGCTGCGGTGTTGTGTTAGTGCTATTCGTCTGTATGACTGCAGCATTGGGAGCCTGAGTTACTGCCAACAGTCATGTGCTAGCAGCTCTACAAATACTCAGAAAAAGTATGTGTTCCTACAGAGTACAGATAAAGCTTTCAGTTATCTACCTATAGAAATGAAAATAAATCTGTATGAGAATGTGTTTTGATATGACTGAATTGAAAATAACTTGAATGACTAATTGCAGATATTAAAAATGTCTTAAGAAAATAATGATGCAGGAAGCTGGGAATGTATCAGAAGTTTGATGTCTATTTAGACTGGAAAAATGTTTACATTCAAATTAAATACAAGCTGCCCTCAGATGGTCTAAGTGTTTTTTTCTTTTAAAGAGCTAGTTAACTTAGGGATCAGAAATAAATCCTTCCCTTCCAAATCTAAGAATGTAAGATGCTTTTTGATCTCAGTGATTTCATTCTTAGGCCTTTGAGCCTTTCCACGGATGAACTTCAGAACATATGTGGCAGAACATATGTGGTGCCCACTGATTTAAAGAGGATCTCTGTGTAGATTAATACCCTTTTGGTGCAGAGCTTTTAATAGGATTGAAATTTTGTTATCCTCTGTTTGGGCAGAATGGTTGAGTAGGACCTCCTGGTGGAAATACTAAAGGCTGATGTAGAGCACATCTGTTGGGGCAGGTAGAGATAGATTTGAACACTTTCGAACACTGAGCTGCTTCAACATGAGCCAGGTTTGATCTGGAAGCGGTATAAGCGTGATGATACTTAATTTTTGCTCTTAGCTGGCTGGATGTGAGCCCAGCATCTGGGTAGGTATTGCTGCTTCTTTGAACAGAGTATCTTAGGTAGGAGGAAAGGAGAATGGGACACTTGTGTTACTCTCTGCAGCATGATACTTGTGTTCTGACTTTTTTTTTTCATCCTGTAGCTAAATTGAATTTAGATCAGTGAAGACAGTTATTGCTTTTTTATTTTTAGGGGGATTTCATTCTTAAAATTGAGCCTCCCCTAGGGTGGAGTTTCGGTAAGTGCTCATATGTCTTCTTACAATAGGACAGTGTTTCCGCAATGTGGGACTTAATTGTCTCTGACTTGCAGTTGGCAGGGAAAATCAAAAGAGATAAGCCTTGCTGTATGGTTTTAATAACTAAAATGTACTTACTGTACCAGAGGAAAATAAAGCTGTAAGGTAGACACTGACAAAGTAACGCATGAACTGATTTGAAGCAATGTGGGTTTTTGACAGAAATGGCTGTAATGGGAGGGGGAAAGAGGATTTTCAACATCAGGATTTGTGGGTGCTTTAACATTGCTGAGGCAAGACTTCCAGAGCAACAATTGTGTGCTTGAGTTAATGCATTTCTGTGAGAGTAAAGTAGAATTGCTTCATGATTGCTCCCTCACTAAGTACCATGCTGTTTCATTGTTCTTCTCCTCCAGAACCAACCAATGTAGACATCCATGTGGATGGCATTAATGACATTTGCACAAAGGGAGGTGATATTAACTTTGTGTTCACAGGGTTTTCTGTGAACGGAAAGGTTAGACTCCTTTATTTATTCCATCTTATGCTAATTCTACCTTCATAAAAACATTCTACTTCAGCTCTGCAAGTTATTTTTATCCATTTATATTCTGGTTTCTCTTCATTTTGACAGGTTCTCAGCAAAGGTCAGGCATTAGGTCCTGCTGGAGTCCAGGTTGTACTGCGAAATGCTGGCAGTGACATAAACATACAAGCAACTATTACACAACCTGGAGGAAAGTGAGTGTGGGTGGTGCATACTGTTCATTTACACAAGATTCTTTTAGTCCTGCCATATGGACTGGGATTATAGTAGTTCTGAAATATTTTTTCTAACCTGTGTATAGAGTCTGAATTGTTTTTCTGTAAACAAACGTTTGTGATTATTTCTGAAGAGACGTAACCGCTTTCTTGCCTTACAGGTTTGCTTTCTTTAAAGTGCTTCCTGGCGAATATGAAATCTTTGCATCTCATCCTACCTGGATGTTGAAAGAGGTTAGAGCCTATGAAAGTTCTGGTTTACCTGTTTAGTGGGGGCGGACCTGCTAAACCTTGTCTTGATCAACTAGTGTGAGGAAGGGTTTTTGTGAGTGGACAAGGTTAATGGAGTTTTCATAAATTTAATTTAGGTAGTCAAGAAACTGCCTCATGCAGGTCCAGTTTGGAGAGAGTAGAGCCAGCCAGGGAATGACTGGCAAATGAGCTCTTGCTTTCGGTCTTCTAATCCTATACATTTCACAAGAGCTTGAATATTATAGCAGATGCTGTAATCCTTCTCTCTCAGACTGCTTACTTTCTGAGGAGCTCTGAGATCCTGGCCAATTCCTAAATCAGTGAAATAGGAAAAATACTGTTTTGCCAAGTATCTTTGCTTTAGTGTCTTGTCTTTGTGTTTTGAATAGCCTGTGGACCCTCTTCAAGTACTGCTGCTCTGGCCTCTGTTTCTGTTGTTGAATATACAGCTTCTGACTCTTATTTAGGTGCTGTAAATGAGATCTAATGCCTACTTTTGATGAAAATGTGTGTGTTTCTGTATTTCAGTCAAACACAGTGGTACGGGTGACAAGTTCTAATGCTTATGCTGCTAGCCCTCTGATTGTTGCCGGCTACAATGTTTCTGGGTCAGTAAGGAGTGACGGAGAACCAATGAAAGGGGTCATGTTTCTCCTTTTCTCTTCTTCGGTCACTAAAGAGGTAACGGTGTATCTATCAGTACCTTTTCAATGTGAGTACGGTCGTAAATAAGAGGCAGCTAAATAGCTTCTAGATTCATATTGCCCTGTTACTCATCTCTGTCCTTCATTGAGCTTGGCTTACAGAAAACATAAACTGTACAACCCCCTCAAACTGTATTTTTTGTTTGTTTTTTTGAGTTTTTTTTTTTTTCCAACAAGGCCCTTGTAATACAACATTTGTGTACATGCTGAGTTTTCACATGACCTCCATGGAATTACTCAGATGTGTAACACAATAGCTATCTGTTTAAATGTTGGCAAAATTGAGGCCTAAGGTCTACATATTTTTCGGACACAAGAAATTAAAAAATTCTTTTAATTTCAACTCTTTTGAACTCTTTATTACTGTTTTCAAACAACCAGGTTCCTCAACGATCAGGCTGTTTAGGAACATAGAAGACTTAAGACCTGAACTGAAGCAAGCAAGAAGTGCAAAATATAATATGGTTCACAGCATGTTGTTGATCTATATATTCCTGTGGGTCAGCAGGGTTAAGGGCTACAATTTTAAGATTACTTTTCCAGTTACACCTTTTCGCATTTTAAATGTTGGTTAGTAAATGTGTTCCCTCGTGAGGATGACACTCCTCCATGGTGAAAGACCAGCTTCTGGCACAAGACACGAGATGTTGCCAGACAAATCCTGAAATTCACTGTACAGTAGCTGTAATTTGTCTTCAGCATGAGGTCTTAATTGCTCTTTGCCCTCTTGATGTGAAGACAAAGTTCAACAGCTTCTATTGCCACCTTAAAAGTGTGTTATGAAATGAGTGTGCAACATTTGGTCATGTACTGTGATTTGTTATGTAGAGTACAGCTCTGTTCTGTAATGTTAACCTTGTCCACAAAACTGAAGTCAATTAATGTTAAGACATGCAGTGCAGTTCTGAGGTACTGAGGGATGTTGAATTTCCCAGTTTTCTGTCCTTGTTACCATAAAGTTGATTATTGGTTGTTTTTTCCTCTTTTACCTATGAATTATAAGCCATGCTATCAAACTCTGCCTCTAAAATGGTATTGTACTTCCCATCCTTCATTCACAGTGTAGTATTTTGAACCCTCCTACATCCCCGCTGAAATTATTTTCTCTGTTCTCCCATGGGAAAAAAGTTGTATTGGATTTATTGCCACAGGATGTTGTGGGCTGCAGTATTTCTCCTGTGGATGGATTCCAGCCAAGAGATGAGTCTCTATCCTATTTGTGCAATGTTGTATCAAAAGAAGATGGATCTTTCACCTTTCTTTCTCTGCCAAGTGGGAAATACACTGTGGTAAGTAGCTGGAAAGTTCATTGCTTGTTTATCCACTGGGTTGTTAACTTCCATTTTCTAAACTAGATCATGCATAACTTTGTAGCTGTTAAAACAAAAATAGTTGAAATATTTTGAATTGGATGAAATAATTGGAATAGGAACCTCCAACCTAAAGTGTAGGACAGTGAAGTGAGTTGCCGTGTTAGGGCTCTGCGGTGTGGTTTCAGAGGAAGGACTTATTTGCAAATCAGGCTCTGAATTATCCATATACATTGGCCTGTCACAGAACCACACCTAGAGGCTGCCGGGAGACTGAAAGTTTCTGTTGACTACAGCCACCTCATCTCCTTTAAGGTCTCTGTTTTCTTTTTTGCCCATTCTCTTTATTATGTCCAGGTAGTGTGGGAGCATGGTTGTCTGTGCACTGCCTAGAATGATTGTTCTGTGTTTTCAGTCTGCATGATCTAGAAGTGGGATTCAGACTTCTCTCATTCCTTTAACCCTTCTAGCAATCATACAGTCTTCTATCGCTAAGCTCTTGCACATCCAAGTACCTTTGCTGTATCCTGAGTAGAGGGTTACTTTTCTGTCTCTTCAGATAATCTTATATGGTTTCCATTAAACAGTCTTGAATTACTGCCTTTATTCTTGTCTCCATCCCTCTGAGTTATTTTTTCCAGGGAGTTTGCAGTCCATTCAGCCCTTCATAGAGGTGTCTGATGGTGCTAAGGACACGGAAAACGGTAAAGGAAAACAATTCTGTCGTCATAACTTCTTACAAGTCAAAATGATGTGTCTTCTTTCAGATACCATTCTACAGGGGGGAGAGAATTACCTTCGATGTTGCTCCATCTAGATTGGACTTCCTTGTAGAGCATGACAGTTTACAAATTGAGGTAAGGCATTCAGAGGAAATAATCTTTTTGTGCCATTCATTCCTGTAAAAGTATAACTGATTTTAGCAGAAAGCAGGTGTATTATGGAAAAACTTCTTTGTAAGAAGTTTGAAAACATTTGTTACGTATACCCCCTTGCACAGCAAGTAGAAGACAATATCTGGCATCGTGCTGTGTTTCTACACTTCAGTTCCTTTTAGCAGGAAGGAACAAAATAGGAAAAAGCTGTCTACTATGTTCACTTTCATGTGTGTGTTGCAAACAGGCAATAATCTTTCAGATTGCTTAAATTTACTCATTCAGACTGTCAAATCTCTGGAGAAGAGCCTGTAAGTTTGTATGGTTTGCAGAGTGCCTTGTGTAATGGCATTACGATCTGTGACTTGGGCCTTGTGAACTGTTCTGATGCAGATAAATTGAGAATCTGTTCCTGTACTTAGGGGAACAGTATGCCTGGACACTGATATGTACTTTCATTGTGATTATGCTGGTAAATTTTTTTCCTAAAGCTGGAAATAAATTTTCTTTATATATGTGCGTGTGGGGAAAAGAGTCGGTGTTGATTGCTATAGATGTGTGTTTGCTTTTACTGAGTAAAGATTAATGTTAACTTTTTTCCTATTTCAGCCTGTTTTCCATGTGATGGGTTTCTCTGTCACAGGCAGGGTGTTGAATGGTCCTGAAGGAGAAGGAGTTGCCGATGCCACTGTGACTCTGAACAACCAGATTAAAGGTATGCAGGAGTTTTGGTCTTTGTTGCTACAGGGAAGCCTGTATTAAGCTTAAGTACAGGACTAGTGTATGAGATGGAATTAAGCCTTCAGGATAATACACTACTTCAGTTGCAATTTATTTGAAATATTAAACTGGTTTTCATGCAGTTAATTAATTTTGCATTTTCCCACTTAGATGAGAGTATTAGAATCATAGAATCATAGAATC